TTTTCAGAGGCGAGGATCAGTCAAAATGTTCAATACTCACCTATCGAGTTTCGAAATAAAGCAAAAATAAGCCTGATAGCACTACACCTACGCATTCTGTAACTGCATACAACCCGGTGCCTGTTGTGACACGACAGGTATGCAAAATTTACCTGCGATTATTAATTTACTGTAGATATTGACTGTTGACACAGTTTTTGTTAGGTGCAGATATGTTTAGTAAGATTGAGTCGTATGCGACTATAAAAAACAGTGCAATGCTAGTCGAATGGGCATGCCGATTTTTTGAATACGGTATTCGTGAAATGTACGTGGAGGCAAGTGGTCCACTGCTGTGGCCTAAGGAGACGCTATGGAGATCAATAATCACCATCTTTGTTGCATTTTCTATCTCTGATCTGGTATTATCCGGATCGTTCAAATTTCATCGACGGGTAGACCAAGCCTTTGGGAGAGGAAGAGGCTTCCTCCTCCCAAGGCTTAGTCCATCGGTTCCCTATGACGTCATAGCACGTCGTACACCCAGTCCCTATGTTCATTACAGTCGTTTTCGCCTACCGTATTTAAAAAATCGATGAGTCGATTCAAATAGCATTGTACCAAAAACTGTAAATTGTCTCAGCCACATTGATTTATTACCTTCTTCGGTGCAATTCGCTTCCGGGGGCCAGTCTGTCGGAAGGCCACTAGGACTAAGCCTAACGCAGAGGGACGAATTCCGGAGCGAATGAAAATTGCTTACGCAGCTCGGATTCCCTCTTTTCCTCCAAAGCTTAGTCCCAAAACTGAAAGTTTTCGTGAATCTGACGCAATGTTACAGGCTGCCCCCCCGGAGCCTTCTTCTCATCTGATCTTGTTTTTTTTGCTTTGCATTTCATTTGCTACCGTTGCATAGTTTATTAGTCACTGTTACTTTTCGACGAATTTGCTTTCGTAATTTGAAGTTCTGAATTTCTGAGGGCTCATTTTTGTAAATTGCTAGGCAATGTGTATTCCGATAGAGCACTCTGAATAGATCTCTTCACAGTCCACTTCTCTTTGTGTTGTTAATTTCACTCTACCGCTGTCAAATGCTAATTGAATGAAGTCACTAGATCTCTTCTTATTGTTAGTTGCGTAATCAGTGATAGCCAGATTTGGAGCCAAGTGAAGTTCCAGCGCCAGACCGCGTATCGACCAAGTGACGGTCCACAATACTGATTGAACGGGATATGGATAGCATTAGGAACACGAAAACTGGTCCGTTACCCGCGGTCATAGGTCGCATGCTAGGAATTGAGTTCAGGCGATTGCACGGTCGCGGTGTCGCTGGCATCGCAAAGTACGACTGGAGTCGAAGCTTTCCATTCCACTTTGTTTGTAAGGGTGTTTCCAGCAAACTTCTTTGCGGAACCACTGCTGCTGAACGGCTAGGGATTCAGACACGAGAAGACGAGAGAGAGGTTGGGGCGTACCGGGCCAATAGTGGGCCAACTGGGCTGCGGAGAAGACCATGCGTGATCGTTGGGAGCATCCTACTTACTATAAAGCGCTTCGTCTGTCGTCTGTCGTTCTGTATGTCTGTCACGAAATTCCCTAGCTCCTCGGGATCCGCCTGGAGGGACCGGGTCAAGTGTGGGATGGGTGGGCAAGGTCTCACGAAATACAAAACACACATCAGCTAAGCGGAGCCCCGCCCACAGGCGTGGCGTGCGTCGACAATGAAGTGTACGACCGAGATTTTCAATTCTCTTAGACCTTGAAACTGGGCCAAAAAGTGGGTAAAGGTGTGCATTGGTAAGTCACATCGAATTAGGGAGACCCACCCCCGGTGGGCGGGGCGTTCTCCAAAAAAGCAGTGCTTTATGAAAAATTTCATAACTCGGTTGGGAGAAAGCCTACAGAGCAGAAAACAATTGGTGTAAGGGAGCAATGTCTAAGGTGTTTCCAGCATACATGACGTGGGCGGAGGCCTGCCCACAATGGGCGGGGCGCGCTCTGAAGTGTACAGCATTTTCTACAAGTCCTCATAATTCGGGCCGGGGAAGTCTTAAGAGCCGGAAAAAGGTGGATAGAGGTGGGTGGAGGAGTGGAGGCCAGCTGTCATCGGTGGGCGGGGCTTGACCAAAGTGGGCGGAGTTTGCGACGAAACGGGCGAAGGAAAGGAGGCTCAACTGCTATCAGGGTAGAGCACGCACCTAAGTGGGCGGAGTTTGCCAAAAGTGTCGTAATTTGGTTCCAAGAGGTCCCAGAGACCGGTGAAAAAAGGGGTAGAGGTCGGCGAAAGGAAGGGGCCAAATGCTATTGGTGGGCGGGGCACGCACCGAAGTAGGCGGAGTTTGCCACGAGATTTATTGTCCGGAAGCAGTCCGGAGACCGGGAAAGGATAATGGTTGACGAAGAAAAAGAGGTTGAAAGCCGTCGATGATGGAGCGGATAGAATTTAGCTGAGGATTCAGACGTGGTGTATCAAGCCAAATTTGAAAATTTTCGTCGCACCATCAAAATTCGCCGCAGATCTGTGTTGTGCGCGCAATGCGTGCGGCGCCAACTGGTGATGCGACTTGCGTGTCGGTCCGTTCCTTTAGAGGTTCGCCCGTCTTTCCACTAGTAAAGTTCCCCTTCTTCAACCTCCGTCCTTGTGTGAAATTCTCTTTTACCTTTCAGTAATGCTAATGAGCTTCCTGGAACCTGTGCAAGAGTACTAAACACTTTGAACATAGTACCAAACTTTTTGCAGTTTCCGGTCTGACAGTGGAGTACACAATAATGAGATCAGATTCATTGCAACTAGAAATCTTATAAAGGAAGTTTTAGAAGAAACATTTGACGTTTCGACGACGAAAATACGCCGCCATTAGTGCATTGTACTTCGATTTTATACTGCGCTCGTTTCTGAATCGTTGGCGTCATACTCAGCGAATTTACGGCTGTTCCTGGGAACAGCGCTAGCTGATAAACTTTTTCATTCCTACTGAACGTCGCACCCCATGCTAGCTTTAAAACCGGCAGCACAACTTTCCGCTACCACGCTGTCATTACTACGAGAAGTTGTTTCATTCCCCAGATGTCAAGAGTCAGATCATCGGTCAGAAGTTCGCCGAGTATGAACGCCTATGCTGTCACCATCGCTAACAATTTCTACTGACAATTTCGACTTATGAACTAAGGAAATGTGATCAAACATGAGTATCTGATCTACCGGTGATGAATGGGCATAACGTCACGGATTACTACACAATACAATTGAAAACACCAGGCTACATTTCATTTCAGCTTTCCATTCGATCGATGAGCAAGTTCTCCATGATATTTTTGCAGATAATCCGAAATGAAACCGATGGGATCGGCGGGACGGCGAAGCAGCACCTGAACGAAGTACTTTAACTATTGACTTCTGAAAATTACATAAAAATCTCAAAAAAATAATCCGAAATCTCGCAACGAACCTCGGCAAGCGCTTTCGTGAGCACCGGTGCTACGGTACGTGCCAGATAGATACCGTTCTCAGAGGTGGGCATATCGGTGCGACCGAGCACCATCCGTTCAAAACGATTCCTTTCCATATCGTCGTCCTCATCGTTTACACGTGCCGAGTCTACTGGTGACCTGAACGGGGACATTCAAAGTTTCGAGCAGCAATGGAAGGTCATTTGATATCGAGCTACTCTAGCGTCAGCACATAAGCCCACGGACCAGCAGCAATCGGAGGCGGGGAGAGTAAGAAGGGGTCCTCGACAGGAGGCCCGTCGCGCAGCGAAATGGCAGAGCGCAGACGGGCGAGTGAACGAGTTGCAGCGTGTACTGCGCTATGGAACGTACAGTTCATATCTCGAATTCTGACCGGGCGCGTCACCGCGCATTTGATAGATGTTGTGTGGATAAAATACTCCGCCAGATATCAGCAAAACGTGTTGGAAGCAGCTTATCCGCGCATTTTCTATCAAGTGCGGTGGCTGCCACGTCATTACCGGTGACACGCCCAATCAGACTTCGAGATGTGGACTGTACTATAGTACATTCTATTCAACTTGACGCCAAATGGCTACAGTACGCGCTGCGACTCGTCCGTCGACCCCCCTGCGTCAGCCATCTCGCCGCGCGACGAGCCCCATGTAGGGTACCCAAGAAGAGGACATATAACCCTCGCCTTCAAATGACCAGAAATTGTGCAATTGCAGAAATTGACGTGGCATCGATTCAAGAACATCTTTGAGCACACGTGATGTCACCTTTTCATCGAGAATTTTCATCGTGGCACACGTGGCTAAATTCTCGATGAAAAGGTGACATCACGTGTGCTCAAAGATGTTCTTGAATCGATGCCACGTTAATGCCACGTCAATTTCTGCAATTGCACAATTTCTGGTCATTTGAAGGCGAGGGTAAATGGCTGCGTAAATCGTTTTCCATACGCTTCGTCGAGGAACACAACACTTTTACAGTATGCTTTTCCCTCCTTCAACATCAAATTCATCGCTCCACCAGCCTCCGAAATTGAAAACAGAAGGGGCGAAGTGAAATGCTTCTCAAACTGGTCCGTAAGAAAGAGAAACAGGAAGTCGATATTATGTAGATTTGCGCTTTTCCTATAAGGAGCGGGCAAAAAGTTTATAAACTCATCATGATATTATTGTCCCATTAAAATTATCTTCTATTTAGGAAAACGAGAAGAGCGTCGGGCACACACCACAAGTGACAACGGTCACTCTCTGATCCCCAACGCCCCCCTCCCCCCCCCGTCAAAAGAAAGCACTTTCTCCGGCTGTCGGTCACTTGTGAATGCGGTCTGCACTAGACGCTCTTCTCGTTTCTCGAAATTGAGGATACTGAGCCTTAGCAGATGCTTTGTGAAACTTCTGGAGAAACACATTAGGTTGTAGTTAAACGCCTACCCCTCTGATCCGCTCTCGACGCTGCCAGGACTTTCGAGCATGGGTCCCTCATCCAGGAGCTCTTCACTCATTCCTTCATACTCTTCATCACGATCCTTGATCATCTTCAGATCGATGACGGCGTTTCTTCGGTAGTAGTCCGGTGTACGACCTTCCTGAAAAAAATCATTTCTTTTACCTCTTTTACTTTCTGATATTTTATGTCCCTCACGTTATCCACAGCCATTGGATCCGCTCCAGCTTTGCCCAGGATCTTCAGGTAGTGGCCACCGTCACGAGCTGCAGCCGCGTAGTGCATCGGAGTACGTTTATTCTATAACGATACAGTGTAAAAGAATGCTTCTCAAGACTTGAAAGAAAAGCTTACGTAGTCGGGTGGCGTTCAGTACGGACGGAAAGTGGCCGGCGATGAAGCGGACAATCTCAGTGTGTTCATGTACCACAGCTGCATGCAATGGAGTGCAGCCGAATCGGTCTCTAGCTGGAAACGGAAATCAGGAAAAATCGACTTTTGTAAGAACCAAGCTTCGATTTTCAGAATTTTTTACAGTAAAGGTAAAAGCAAATATTCTAACAAATATTTAAGCGACTGCTAATCGTAACAGTACCAACACAAATGTTTTAAACGGAGCGTGGAGGAGCTCAGCTCAATAGAAAACAGAGTAACGCAATTTCTTACCTATTGCCAACTTTTTTGACGCCATGAGTGACTTCACTTTCTCCAGATCACCTTCTTTAATGGCTCGATGAATTCCTTCGATTTTGCTCTAAATTATTCTCCTTTTTTTTCTTCATAATCATTGTTTATACAGAAAGAATTTATCAGGAAGTGAAGTGATAACGGCAGTGACAGAGTTTCGTGAAATGTCAACGTGATGAGAAAACATGGGCCATTGCCGTCTGAGCGGAATTGTCGCCAAGAATCGAGGATGGGAAATAAAATGAAATCTAACGAATATTGCTCAAGTTTGAGGAATGCCATCAGGGATTGAAAAATGTAATTATTGATGAGGTGGGAATTCTCTTTTTTTAGTGACTTGTGCAACCTAGGTAAAGTGAGTAGTTATGGACTTTTATGGGATGGGCCACGCATCCGCGCTCAATTCAGAATTGTAATAGTAGTTTATGTGATTTGG